TCTATGAGGTTCTTATAGGTGTTGATGATTTTTTGTCATCAATGATTTTAATGGAGAAACATTAAGTGGAAGAAGTGTTAGGGATAAATGAGATAAAAGTTCCAAGTTTTAGCATGGATTTGTCACTGATATGTTCTTCCTGGTCTGAAGAATATCCAAGACCACTTTTAACCTTGGCAGGTATTTAAGCATTTATTATATCATTATCTATACTATATTATAAAGCATTTTACAAAAAACTCTTAAAACCCATTTTTTATGCATAAAGTACTGTTTATTAACGCATATTACTTAAAACTCAAAATTGCAAGTAGATTGTGCGTAAGTACAACTTATTAAAGCTCTATATCTGAATTTGTGTAACTAACTGCAGATAAACATAATCAAATACCGGATAAACATCTCATTTTAAATATAAAAAATCTAAAATATAATTGGATAATCATTGAGTTCTAACAGAATACTTAATTATTATCTTTATAAAATATTATATTATTAAACCAAAAATAAATTATTTCGTGATTAAACTTAAATTAAATTACAATAAAAAATAAATTAAAGAAATTACATAAAAAATAGAACTTTTAAATAGTTGATTTGATATTAACATTGATATATTTTTTTTTTCAAATTTTTATGATATCTTTAAATGTTATTTTATTCAAAAATAAAATCATTATTGCTTTCTTAAAAACACATAAAATCGTATTATAACATCGACGAAGACAAATAATAAAATAAAACATTATAATCGAGATGTGTCTCGCTGCATTGCGCGGGTACTCTTCTAGTCCTAAATAGAGGTTTTGCATCATCCTTCAATGGTAGCCTTTTCAGCTTTAAGTTTAACAATAGTTTGTTCACGCTCAGTGATTACTTGCTTGCGTTCAATGCTAATTGTTTGGTTTATAATGACTTGATGTTTAAGATTTTCTTCAATCTTAGTAAGTTCTTGAATCTTTTAATGACATTTTTCAAGTTGTTCTTGTAGATCAAAATTTAACTTTTCAACTTCGGATTTGCCATTTAGTGCATTGTAAAGGTCCACAATAAATGTATCAAACACCGAGAGACTATCAGTACCAAAGGTAGAAAAAGCATTCAGATATGATATCTGAGATGAAGTTGAAGAATAATTTGAAGACGAGGTCTCAGATGGTTCATCTTTGAATTATTTAATGTTGGCCATAAGACAGAGGTAGGTTGTGTCTTCCTCATCTGAGGATTCGTCAGATGAATCCACTCAATCGTATTCTTCGGCAATAAGACCCTTGACTTTATGGTGGTAGTTCTTCTTTATCTTCAGATCCTTATCATCTTTTTATTTGAAGGATGAAGATGGCTTCATAGCTTGTTTATACCTGCACTCACTTGCAAAGTGTCATTTGTGTTCATAGTTAAAACAGATCACTGAAGCCTTATCGATCGGGGGTTGATTTTGGCTTGTCAGTGATGGTCAGTGTAGGAGTTCTACGAAAGTTATTATTTTCTGGAAAATCTTCTAAAGGAATTTGTAAGAAGAGCCAATGGCTCGTCAAACTCTGAAAGATCAGCGTCTGTCAAGTCCTCGGAGTTAGATGAAACTAACTCAATGATAGTGATAGTGGGGGTGGTCGCTAAAGGGTCTCAGAGAGTAAAGTTACAGCTGATTTTTTTTTCTCTTTTGAATCTCTTATGAGATTCTTCTTCAGTTGACGAGCTTGCTCATGATTGAGCAGAATCCCATAGAAAATATTGAGAGAAAGACTTGATGTGTCTTTAGAGACACAGGGTATAGATGTCCCAAGATTCTGGCAGACATTCTAAGACTTTTGTCAGAGTCTCAGAGTTGGAATATTTTCTTCCAAAAGTCCTGAGGTCAATGAGTAGGCACTTAAAGTGCTGATGTATCTCAGACAAAGATTCATTTTTTCTACATATAAAACTTTCATATTGTTGCATTAAATTTATCTTTCTAGTTTTTTGTACCTCAATTGTACCTTCATATGAACACACAATATGTCCGACATAGATTTAGAGGTCTTGAGCTTCATGACAGAGTGTTATATCTCATCAAGAACTGACATGGATATGATAGATCTAGCTTTTATATCAAGAGGCATTTTCTTCATGTTTCATCGCTCCATTGTTGATGGAGCTTTGGAATCTGCCTTCCAAGGATGGCAGTTGTGGTAGTGGTGGCAGGAACCACTGGTGACATTGCAAATGGAATATATGGTTTATTTTCAACATAGTAAAGGATCTCATGATCCACAACCTCTAGAAATAAAGACATTCAATTTTTCTAGAGCTGAACTTGTCCCTGCTAAATCAGAGAGGTTTGGCGAGATATCCATTATCATGATAGTTGGTGCTTGTGTTTTGCAAAGCCATTTAAAATAAATAGCAAGTAGAGTATTATTAAAGAAGAAAAGATAAACACTACTCTAATACCGCTTGTTGATCCGAATAGGATTCTACAAGATTTTAAAGGTATAACAGTTTGTAGAAGGGGGCTTGAATACAAACACAAAATTTTCACTTCTTAAATTCTTTATTGATTAAAGAAGGTCAATACAAAATTTACAGATTGCTGCAGAATAAGATAAGGTTAAGACGTAATCTAAACAATCTATGAGAATCACTAAGTAGACGCACAAGAAAGATAAGAATAAGAGAGAAGAGAGAGTTTAGAGGGAGAAGAAGGTGTAGATGAGAAGAAGAGTCTTATCAACTATTTATACTCATTAAATTTAATGCAAGTTAGAGGGTACAGGCCACGTGGAAAACTTCTATTGGAGAGCTTGTCCTTGTCTTCAGATATGCAGGCTTCTGACATCATATGAACAGTTGACTTTACAGAGTTAGTAAGCACATTTGGAGACAATAAAGCAACTCCGTACATGTACCTTTATGTGTAAAGCATGGGGGTTGTCCTTTTGTGCAAAAAGAAAAAGACAAAAATTAATCTTGTTGAGCAAGCAATGATATTAAGGAATCGCCTCAGTACCTTTTCAACTATCACTGAGTCTTGATTAGACTTCACACTTGGTGTAGACTGTCTTGTTATTATTGAATGTCCGCTTCATATCATGAAAGGACTATCTCTATCTTCAACATCGCTGAAGGTCTCTTTGGTGTGAGTTTTGTTTTTGAGGAATACTTGTTCTAGGTATGTTTACAATACATGTTCATCGATTACTAAACAGACTCAGAGATGATCGCTGAAACAGAACATAAGCAAAATGAAGTATTTTTCACCAAGTATAGAGCGTCATCATCAAATCATAGAGAGAATTTGGATCAACAAACATGTTCCACACTAAAAACCTTATTACATTCTTTCTTTAATCTTGACTTCCGTTTGATCTTTTTAATTCACAATTGTAGGGACATTAAGAATGATGTGGTACTTGTAATGTATTTGATCAATCTCAACATCTTTTTAACCGTGATAATGGATGAAGTATCTTGTTGACTACAAAGACGAATCACATATATTGGTTGTAAAATATGATATCTGACATTGACAATAGATCTTTTTGTAGTTTTAATTCAAATGGAGGCTATTAATTGTATTTAAGAATCTCAAGCTGTTATTGATTTCTATAGAGGCAATATTGAATATCCAGCTTAAGATCATGTCATTTGTATGATCTCAATAAGAGCGAAGAGAAGAATTTGTAGAAGGTTCAACACATGTAACATTCATTATGCCTATTTTATTGTTGACAAACAATCCTATTTGTCAAAGGCCTTTTCAAGGAAGAGCATTTATCTATTCCCATAAATTTTTGAAAAATAAAATGAAAATCGAGTAATCATTATTATGCATAAAGATGTCATGTGTAACACCGAAGATTTTGACCTAGATGTAATGATTAGTCCAAGAGAGGGATTAAAGATTAAATGAAAGTATAAACTTTAGAATAAAAGGGGGTGTTGAGAGTCATTAATTATAATTCATCTGTGTTTATTATTAGAAAATCAGAACTGTGGTTACAAAAGCATTTTCCAATAGTAAAACATGAGAAAGATCGAGATCGTGATGTGTTCTTGGAGTAAGAAAAAACGAAAGTAGCAACAAATGTTTAGCAAGATACCATTCAATTAAAACATAACTTTCGTTGTTGAATCGGTGTTTGAAGGGTGGGCTAAAATGAGCCAACAACGTAAGTTTAAATGGTCGACCAAAAGGAAGTAACCCCTTTTGAATCGGTGTTTTAATGCTTGAACTGTAATATTATATATTCTTGAGAGTGATAAGTATTTTAATAATGGTGTTATTATCAATCTGATTTTAAGCAATTTAATATTTTGTTATATGTAAAAAAAATACAAAAATTAAAACAACGCATAAAACTTTTGACAATCATACCCATTGAATTTTAACAACCAAATGCATTTAATTAGGGATATTATAATCAATTTTATTATACTTTTAATATTATTTTTATAATTTGTTAACGTATATACAACTGTAACAGAAATTACGTCATTTTTGTTGAACATTTCTTCTTCAACATTCTATTTATTAAATAGATTTTTTTATGAAAATATATGCAAAATCAAATCAATTTTTTTTGGGTCGGATATGGTTTGAAATTCAATCTTTTTTTTGAACGGATACAGTAAAAGTGAAAAATCAAATTAATTTTTTTTTTACAATTTTGATAAGTTACTCTTACTAGTCTTAAGATAACTGGACTTATCAACATACTCAAACGTCTATTTTACCTGTATTAAAAAAATAAAACTTATACTGCTTCTATCAATTAATGTGACATTTTCTGCTAAAATTTTCATCAGTTAAATAATAAATAATTTTGCATTGCTTGTGTTTGCCTATTAGTTTTAGTGCACCGTTATGATATGCTACTTTTACAAGAATGGTTATCAAAATCTGTTTTTTAACGGATCAGATTTAATAGTCGTTCTGTTAGCTTCGCTCGGAAACAAATACACAATTATGCATGAACAACAATAATTGAAACATTAAAACAACAATATAACGTGTTAGGAGGAATATAAAATGGTGATAAAATGTGGGTACCCCCTACCCATCCAACATCCCCGCCGTTCATCTCCATATGCATGTTCCCATTTTCAGACTTGTATTCATGTATTTGCCACCTCTTTCTCTTTGGCATTTTATCAAACATCTGCCCTTCATCTCTCTCTCTCTCTCTCTCTCTCCCTGAATCTCTATTTCTTCTAACTAAACCTCTGATTCACAAATGGAAAGCCGGAACTCAGAGATGCCATGCAAGATCAGAAAGCGGAGGTTTCCGACAGCTTCGTCGTCATCATTTGCAAACAATAATATCTCGCAATTTTTGGTTGAAAAAACACGATCTGATTCACCGAGAAATGAGAAATGCATCAACATGTTGGATCGGAGTAAGTGTAAAGAAGAAGAATCGGCGACGACGATGACCGTGAAGAAATCAGATACTGATAACCGAGTGAATAAAGTGATCGATAAATCAATTACAAATGTGGATCGATCTCGAAACAAGAGTCGCACCTCATCTGGTCGTGTTGCTACTCCCGAGGTTTGTTATGATTTCTGGTCAACTTTACTTCACAATTTGTTCAATCATACCAAAATTACTGGATCCCACTTGCTTGCATTCCTTTAATAAAACAAGACGATAAATACAATTTTGAACACTTTGGTCTTTCGCTGATAAAATTAAATTTTTGTTGTTTTTTTTTACCGGATAACATAAATTTATTCGGTAAAAGATATGGTTTTTATCAGTAATTTTACGTTGTGATTTTAACAATTAGGAATCTTAATTATCTGGTAACTGAGACGGATGACCCGTACTCAGTTGATGTTTATTGAATGAGAAACGTTAATATTATATTGTTTTGATGATCAAGAATTTTACCTGTAAGATAAGTAAAAATAATAACTTTTACTGCAAAAGTGTTTACCTGGTTTTATTGGTAAACGACTCCTTAAACAAAGTTAAACTTTAAAGGAATTCCTGTATACTGTTGGATGAATATCTCTTAATAATACTAGAAGAGTACTCGCACAATATAACGATATATATCTTCATTTTAATGTTTCGTTTTATTATTTGTCTTTGTTGATATGATACGACTTATGTGGTTTTAAGAAAGATAATGTTTTTACGATTTAGTGAAGTAATTTATTTTTGTCTTGACGATAAAATTTTATAAAGATAATGATTCTGTTAGAACTCAATTATTACATTAATTATATTTTAGATTTTTTATATAAAAAATGAGATGTTTATCATGTACTTGATTATGTTTATCTGTAGTTAGTAATACGAATTTAAAAATAGAGCTTTAATAAGTTGTATTTATGCATAATTTACTTGTAATCTTAAATTTTAAGTAATATGCACTAATATACAGTACTTCATGCATAAAGAATGACTTTTAATAGTTTTTGTCAAATGTTTTATAATATAGATATTTTTTTAGGAACTGACTCATAAGACGTCGTTTTACTGTTATAAAATACATTTCTCCACTAGAATTCAATGTAATTTCAAAATGAAGATATTACAACTTTTCATAGGAAAGACAATTCCATTATTTATACGGAGAGAAATATATGATTCAAGTGAAACTTTGTATATAAAATATAAATTCATTATTAGTTTGTTTAGTGAAAGTAGGGAGTTACTACCCTTGTGATACAAACTGCTTTCTCCGCCTTAAAATAAATGTCCATATTTTTATTTATGTTTGTCCCAAAAAATATACACTTTAAAAAGTATATAACTAAATTGTCAAATTTGTCCTTGATTAATATATAGATATTTAAGAGTTTTTGAAGAGTAAGAACTTAAATAAGAGTAAAAATGTCATTTGATTAAAAAAATATAATAATTACATATGTTTAAAATTGTATGTCATTTCAATCATGAACCGTTATTGTTATTTTAAGAGAGAGACAGAGAGAATGTTTTAACAAATTTAGAAGAATAATGACCATGAGTTGGGTTCACGTGAGATCAAAGGTTTTTCGTGAGACCCGTAAAATCAATTTATGTTCATTGATCAACTTTATAAATTAATGATCTAATGGTCTAAATTGCACGTTGGCAATTTTGTGATTATTGAAAAGTCTCGTGACGTTTATAAATGTTTAGATTACCAAATTATAGATCTAATCCAATAATTAAGAATTGATTTTACGGGTCTCATGAAAAACCGTTGGTGTAACATGATCCCAAATCATAACCATATATTTATATTTGTAGATAACAAATCCACGCTACAAAAATCCTTATCGCTTTGGGGCGAAGAATGGAAGCTTTGAGAGAATGCACTCGGTTTTCGATGCAAACCCATTTCAGGTAATGTTGACTTTTATTTCATTTGGTCAAAGTTATCTTAATCTAAATTATATAATTTAAAATTAAAATATATTTTATTTTAAGACGTCATGTTAAATTCATGATGTTTTATCTCTCTTTTTTTATTAATATAAGTATCAAATATGTTATGTGAGCCGGCTAATCTTAGGGTAACTAACTATTTGTTTTTTGGGTAGTCTGAAGTAATCGTATTTGAACCTCCGTGATCACAAGAGGATTTATATTATTCATTGAATTTAAACATGTGACCCTCAAGGTACTTTTAACTTTTGAAATCAGCTCAAACATATCAGACACTACCTTTACGATTGTTTTTTTAAATGTTATTTCCATAAGTTAAAATTCATGTTATTTTAATAAAGTATATGATGAATATTAAATTAAAAATGAATCTTGATAAACAATGTAGATATCATTTGAAAATGAGTAATTTAAATAAAATCGAACTCTTAATCAATTTGGATTATAATCGTATTTGTAAAGAACTTAAACTTAAGAACAGTATCCAGTAACGGATTGATCGACGACTGATAGTCTCAACGTGATCGTAGTGTATTTTTTTGGAAACGAAAGAATACCTAATATAAATTAATTATTAAATAATGCGGAAAAAGTAAATTAAACTGAAATAAGAATCTTATTAATTATTTAGCATAAATTATTTAATATTTATCGGGCATTACCTCTGGCTCTTGTCCTATAAGTCAGAAACACAGCAAATAGTGGGGTCATTCATGTATACACACATACATATGCGTATTTTTATTAAATTATGGATTTGGTACATGTAATAACGAGTTTTATGGAATTGATCTTTATACTTAATTTACTATGTAAATGATATGGTGGTATGTATTTTTTTTCTCGGATTTAGTCCTTGGACAAACGGTCGTCAACATTCTTTGTTAACTTTAAAGGTATTTTCGTTAACATTTTCTCCATTTTAACATTAACTTTTTCTCTTTTTATATTTTGTGTTTTTGTCTCTCTCTAAATTTATAATATTATAATATATTTAAATTTTAAATTAATATCATATATATATATATATATATATATATGTACATACACATAAAAGAAAACCCCCCTCCCTTCGAGGAACACAATTGAACTCAAAAAGAGTTTGAATTAAGAATTGTTTCTAACACTCTTCTTTCATTCAAACTTTGACAATCCCAATTGAATGCAAAAGTTCTCATGTTTTGTGAAAGTTAAGCTTTTGTCATCAGATCAGCAAGCCGTTCCTTTATACTGCAACTTTCTAGTTCAACCTTTTTTTAGCCAAGAGTTCTCAAATGAAATGGTGTTTGATTTCAATGTATTTGGTCCGACTGTGGAAAACCGGATTTCTTCCCAACATGATAGCCGACTCGTTATCAGACAATAGCTTCGTTGCCTTGATTTGCTTCATTCCAATATCACCCGTGAGTCTTTGTAGCCAAACGGCTTGACAAGAGGTGGTTGTCACAACCACATAATCAACTTCGGTTGTCGAGAGCGTCACAGTTACTTGTTTTTTTGAACTCCAGGAGACTGCAGCGGACCCGAGTATGAAACAATTTCATACGAGCCACCCAATCACTGTCAATATAGCCTTTGAGGCTAGAATTTTCCACTTTACGGTACCAAATGTCGACATTTATCTTCCCTGCAAGATACCGCATGACTCTTTTTGCTGCTCCAAAATGATGTCGTCTTGGTTTGTACATGAACCGAGATAAGACCCCAACAATAAAACTCACATCAGGAAGAGTGAATTAAATAAATAAGTCTACCAATTACAGTGGCGGATCTAGAAACTATTATAGTTGGGGGGCACACTTAGGAGGGTCGAAAAAATTTCGAAACCGAACAATTCGTCCGAACCAAAAAAAGGTTTCGGGTTTCCATTTTCATGTTTAAACTGTTCGGTTAACCGAATAAAAATAACTAATGCAGTTGAAATAAGCTAGGCATTGACTCTACAAATGCATTGATGTGGTGGAGAGTGACTTCTAAGGTTTATGTTTTAATCTTTTAGTACTCTTCTAAGTCCTATAAAACTAACCTAACATTTGACATTTTCATTTGATTTGCTTACAAAATTAACCTAACATAAAACATTTACCAAATCACCAATAAGCAAACAACAAAATCAAAGAAGTAATCAAAATTAAAGACTAGAATTTGTAAATTAGAATTTTTACCCAAATTATTTGCTTCAATCCAGTGACTCCAACTCCAAGTCTTCAATTCCAGCCGCGCCCACAGTCGAAACTCGAACTCAATAACAAGATAAAAATCAATGGTTTAGTAACATTTTTATTTGCCTATAAAATTAACCTAAAATTTGACATTTCCATTTGATTTGCCTAATTGCCTACAAAATTACCTACAAAATTAACCAACAAAATTAACCTAAAACATTTACCAATTACCACAAAATTAAGCAACAAAATTAACCTAAAATACCTAACCTAAAGCATTTACCAATTACCACAAAATTAAGCAACAAAATTAACCTAAAATACCTAAAGAAGTGAGGTCGCACACAGGCGGCACAGGCGCACAGCAATCAGCAGGTGAGGTTGCAGGCTCGCAGTCGCAGCGATGAAGTCATGAAGAAGAAGAGAAGAACTGAAGAAGTGAGGTCAGCTGGTTGCCTGGTCAGGTCGGCGGTCGCACCGTCGAAGACTCGCAGCGGCACCCTCGCAGGCGTGTATGCGGTAGCCGCCTTGCCGGTATGTCTTCACTCCCTTCACAATCACAGTTCACTCTCCGACTCTCGTTTCTTCCTGCACTGAAGAGGGGCCTCCTACCTCATCTTGTTGGGGGCCCAATTACACCTAATCTCAAAATACAAGTAAATTTTTTTTTGGGCTTTCATATAACATTTTTGTTGGGGGCCAGGACCTCTACGCCCTCTTATTGCATCCGCCCCTGACCGATTAAGCTTTTGTACAAGATTGCATCTGTTATGCTTGTTTCAATATATGACCTCAACTTCTCATTTGTGTTCATTGGGGTGTTGGCAAACTTACAATTGAGCATATTGAACCTTTCCAACATGTCTTTGACATACTTTCTTTGTGACATGAATATTCCAACATATGTTTGACTCACTTCTAGCCCCATAAGGTATTTTAGTTGGGGTGTTCATTGGGGTGTTGGCAAACTTACAATATGTTTGACTCACTTCTAACCCCAAATCAGTGAAACCCTCTCGATATTTTTTTGAAAACAACAATGAGTTTAAAAGATGAAGAACAAATCTATACTATACGACAACGATGCGGGAAGAGGTGATGACCAACGATGAATGAGGAAGTGATCGATGATGGAAGAGGAGATGACCAACGATGGGAGACGATGAGCTAGCCGACCTACGATAGGGGAAGAGGTGATGACCGATGATAGGGGGAGGAGATGACCTATGATGGAAGACGATGAGCTAGCTGACCTGTGATGGGGGAGGAGGCGATGACCGACTATAGGGAAGAGGTGATGACCGATGACAGGGGGAGGAGGAGGTGATCAAGGATGGAGGAGGAGATGACCAATGATGGGAGACGATGAGCCAGATAACCTATAATGGGGGAGGAGGCGATGACTGGCGATAGGGAAGAGGTGATGATCGGCGATAGTGGGAGGAGGAGATGACCAACGATGGGAGATGATGAGCTAGCGGACCTACGATGGGGAGGAGGCGATGACCGGTGAGAGGGGAAAAGGTGATGACGGGTGACAGGGGGAGGAGGAGATGACCAACGATGGAGGAGGAGGTGATCGATTTGGTAGGTTTTCCTTGTGGAGGCGTATGTGTCTATTTAATATGATAAGGGGCATTCCTGGAATAACTATGGGTAAGTGCTAATGACAGGTCTACTTTGATTGTGCGAATAAGCACCTGGCTGTAGTATTAAGACACAAGCGAACACTCCTTTATGACTTACCGAATAAGCCATATAGGCTATGCAGCTCATTAAGCCACAACCGAACAGTCACTAACTTGGACTAAAAAAGAGTTTGAATTAACATTTATTTCTAACACCCCTCAACCATCCATCACCGACCCAACAACCATCATTCCACCCCCTCTCCCCCGTCCTTCCCTCTTCTTCAATGACAACCATCAACCTCCACCATAACCTTCATTTTCTCCAATGACAACTTCCACCCTATCACCACTACCACTTCCATCTTCAAGGTGGCGTGGCCACTGTTAAACAAACATTGAGAAGTTCCGACGATGTAGTTTAAGGTCGTGTGTGTGTGTATATATATATATATACACACACACATAAATGTTGGTGGGTAGTGAATTTGTTGTGGGAAGAGTGCGTTATGACCCGTGGCCGCTTGGCTTCTCGGTTGTTAGTAAAGACTCAAACGGAGCAGCTTTAAAGAAAGAGGAAGTTGCAAGTGCGGGGAGGAGAGTGAGGTTGGTTTCACTTGAAAATCCCATCGACAAGAGGTGTTGTGTGTGTGAGAGGGAAGACTTTTATATAATAATATTAATATAATATTTTTATACTAGTTTATTTGAGATCAATTAGAAACAAATATTAAAATGTGAGAAAAGAACAAAAATACCCCCAAGTTAATGGACGCTAGTGGATGGTCGTTCGATCCAGGTTCAAATCTGTAAAAAAATACATACTATCAGGTCATGTAAATAATAAATGAAGTCCAAGGACTAATTTCGTAAAAAACTGTATACCAAAAGGACTAAATCTATAACTTATTTTAAATTATTTTTTCGTGTTGACATCACTTGTATAACCAAAGTCTCTTGTTATAATTTAACAAGAAAACTTGAATTATTTTGTCAACTTGGTCACCTCCCTCAACCTTGACACAATAATTATGTTCCCCATTACATTAAGTTATCTCTTTATGCTGAATTTAATACAATTAATAGTTGTTTTGCTACATTAGTATTCTTTTTTTCCTGTTATAATCATATTAAAACTGTAAAACTTTTGTACGAGTAACATACAAAACAAAATATGAAAGTTAATGTCATATTAAAAAGGAAAAAGTCTAAAAAATCCCAATGAACTTTATTGTTTGGAATGGTTAAGTGTTTGGATAATTTTTTGAAACAAATAAGTCTTTGAACATTTCAAAACCTATTAAATAAATTCTTGGACTTTTTAAAACCTGTTAGATATATTCTCATGACCTATAAAACTGATTAATGTGATAAAATAAGGGGAAAAATCTGGAAAAAAGCCCAATGAACTTTCACATTTTCAACGTTTAAGTCTCTAAACATTTTTTAAATCAAAAAAGTACTTACATATATAAAATGAAACAAATATATCACAAAGATACCTACATTTAAAAAAAATTATTGATGAAATATATTTTGATAAAAAATAAAAAATATTTTGTAAGTGATTTTTTAAATTAAAAAATTAAAAAAAAATTAAAAAACATTAATAATTATATTTTTTATTAAAAATAAAATATATTTCGTTTATGATATCTCAAATTAAAATAAATAAATAAATATTAAAAAAAAATTACTATGAAATTAATTTTTGTTTACAAATAAAAATATATTTTATTTTTGATTAAAATAAATTTCATCAGTAAGTTTTTAAATCTTTTTTTAATTAGTAATCATTTTTAAATATTTTTTTTATTTTTTTAATTTGAAAAATCACTGAAAGAATATRTTTTATTTTTAATTAAAATAAATTTTATCAATAATTTTTTTTAAATGTAATTAATTTTTTGGTATATTTGTTTATTTTTATAGATTAAGGTACTATTTTGGTTCAAAAAATGTTTAGAGACTTAATCGTTCAAAATATGAAAGTTCATTGCTTTTTTAGAATTTTTTCATCATTTTACCATATTAACCAGTTGTATAGATCATAAAGATGTATCTAACATGTTTTACAAAGTCCAATGAATTATTTAACATGTTTTAAAATGTCCAAAGATTTATTTGTTCCAAAAAATTGTTCAAGGACTTAATCGTTCCAAACACTAAAGTCCATTGGGCTTTTTAGACTTTTTCCTATTAAAAACTTGTAAATTAAAACAAAAAAATGTTTAAAATGACAAAGTGAAAAAAAAGATCGAAGAGTCTGTTTTGTTTTTATCGATAAATTGGCCGTGTTTGACAAGAAAGTTGTTGCGTCATTTTTAATGAATTTGATTGTTCAGGAAAAATTTGGACCTTTTGGCGAGGTTGAAACCGAGACCAAGAACCAAAAGCGTTCAATGCTAAAACCGACCAACGAGCTGAATGAGATTAAACAGTCGCTCACAATATCCAGAGAATTGCTGAAACTTCTAACGCACGTTTGGACCGTGGACACGAACCGTGGCTGCAATTCAATGACCATTTCCCTCTCCTCAACCCTGAATCACGAGCTCAACAAGGCTCGGTCTCAAGTCAACAAGTTAATCCAAGAACAACGGTCCCACAACACAACGTCGTCTGAATCCTACGAGCAAGATAAGGTTCGTTTCGCGATCAGGACCGTAGCACGGGAATTGGAGATTGAAAAGAAACTCAGACGACAAACAGAGCGAATGAACAAGAAATTAGGCCGAGAACTAGCAAATACAAAGTCTTCTTTATCGAAAGCCATAGAAAAATCTGAAACGGAGAAGCGAGCAACCGAGATTTTGGAGCAATTATGTGAAAAGATGGCACTCGAAATCGAAGAAGATAGAATTGAGCTCGAAGAGCTGAAAAAGGAATCTGAAAGAGTTCGCGAAGAAATGGAAGAAGAGAGGGAGATGCTTCGTGTAGCTGATATCTTACGTGAAGAACGAGTCCACATGAAGCTCTCGGACGCCAAATACGAGTACGAGGATAGACATGCCCAAGTGAACATGATAGCACGTGACCTCGAAGAGCTTTTAGAAGTCGATAACAACACAAACCATCTGAAGAAGAAAATACCGAGGGTCTTATCATGGTATGAAAGCACGGCGAACAACAATGGCGAAGACGAAAACAACACGAGGGACGAAACTACAAGCCTGGTATGGTACGAGAACAACAGTCATAAAGTGGTAAATGACGAAAACGCCCTAGGAGAGAAATTATTAAACAAGGGTGAAGTGGTAAATGACGAAAATACCCTTTTAACTAGAGATGTATCATGGTATGAGAATGAGAACGAGAACGACAACGACAAGGGCGAAGTGGAAATATACGGAAACATCATTCGAGAGGAAACAACGAGCACGGTACACGAAGCGATGGAACGATACAACTCCGATTGCATCGAGTTGGAATTTGGATTGGATAGGAAGAATGAGAGTGAGGAGGAGGTTTTGGGGATTTCACATTGTTCATATAACATGAAAGAGTATGAAGATGAAATGGAAAGATACAAAATGATCAAAGATCTACGAGATCGTATAGTATCTGGTTCTGACCTTTCACTTGGGTCTTATACCTAACCTCATTTCACATTTTCGTTTCTTATTCTAAAAATAAGAATTACCTTGTTTATATATATTCATTTTTTTATCATTCAAAATTATAAAGTTTAATGGTTTTTTTATTCAAAAAAATAGTTTAAGGACTAAACCATTCAAAATGAGAAAGTTTGTTGGATTTTTTCCCCTTAATTAAATTGGCTTATGACATTTGATTTCAATCTAAAATGCTCGTCATTTTATTTTAAGGGTGTGTAAAACTCGGGAAACCTGATCTGGAAAAAAAATTGGTGTTCGAGGGTTATTAAACCCAACCCGAACTTGAACCCCTTGAACCTGATATTTGAGTGGATATAAGGGTTTGCAAACCATTCATTTGACTCGTTCGAAAACCTGATGGTTCCTAATCCTTATCGCTTCAAGCCTCCTCTCGAAGAAAACCATTACAGGTCTAACTATTATAGCGAATGCCTAAGGCCCGAATTTTTATATTTTATATTTTTTATTAAATTCTTTATATAAAATTTGTATTTCAAATAAACTTATACTAGTAATTTATTTTACACAACTTATTTTGTGATATAAAACCAATCATATTGACACTTATATGTAAAGAGAATTACGGTTACAGGCAAAAATCATGTGAAAAACAAATTCAAGATGAGAAGCGTAAGAAGAGATATGGTCTTTTGATCATTTTTAATTTCAAACCTACCCATTAATCGCGTTTGATACAGGGATTGATATGGCGCATTTCATCTCGGTACATCTTATCCGAATGTGCATCCAAGGGTAGAGATCATTTCTTACGCTTCTCACCTTAACTCTCATTCTCACTGTAACCTAACCCTATGGTTGGTTTACATACCTACTAAAAAGGATCAAAGACCATCAAAATCATAACACCCCACCAATAACGTTAGGTGGCATTTGATTCACAAATTGTTTTTTTGGATGAAATAAAATCTGTTAAAGAAATTTGACTTTGAAAAATTATTATAAAATGTTATTAAGCTTGACCACCTTGGAATCTGTTGAGAAATTGAAATCTATCTATGTGGTTCACGTAATGTAACTTTGGAATTGGAATAAAATATTGCTAAATGACAAAAATGCACTTTTTAAAAATTCTAAATTTATTAAATTAAAAATACATTAATAAAATAATTATTTAACGTGAAACAATATAAAATACATTACCCAAATATAATCATAAATAAACGACATTACTAAATTAATATTAAAATTATCTCAAAACATTTAACTCTTTATCATGTAAAATAGCTAATTCGGAGGTGGTCGACCGTGGTTTAGATCGACAATTGTCGGCGTTGGTTTAGATCAGTGGTGGTCCACGGTGCTTTAGATCGGTGGTGGTCCACGGTGCTTTAGATCGGTGGTGGTCCACATGGTTTAGATGGCGGTGGTCGACCGTGGTTCATATCGGTGGTGGTCGGCAGTGGTTCAGAGGGCGGTGGTCCACGGTGGTTCAGACGGCGGTTGTTCAGATTGGTGGTGGTCGACGGTGGTTCAGAAGACGGTGATCGGCGTTGGTTCAGATCAGTGGTGGTCCACGGTGGTTCAGATTGGTGGTGTTCCACGGTGGTTCAGATGGCGGTAGTCCGCAGTGGTTCAGATCAGCGATGGCTGACAGTGGTTCAGATTGGTAGTAGTCGGAAGTGGTTCAGTTCGATGGTGGTCCACAAAGTTTTAGATCGGTGGTGGTCCACGGTGGTTCAGATACGGGGTGATCCGCGGTGGTTCAGATGGCGGTAGTTGACAGTGGTTCAGATCGGTGGTGGTTCAAATCGGTGGCAGTTTAGATTGGTAGTGGTTCAGATCGGTAGTGATCGGCGGTGGTTCAGATTGATGGTGGCCGGCAATGGTCCAGATCAGTGGTAGTCGCCGATGGTTCAGATCGATGGTGGTCGACGTGGTTCAGATGACGATGGTCAGTGGTGGTTCAGATGGGGATGGTTCAGATCGACCATGGTCGAAGGTGGTCGAAGATGGTCATATTTGGATTTTATGAGACTATGGTATATTAGGTTAAATGCATATTTGGTATTATGAAAATAAAGAATTTCATTTTATCAAAATACCATATGATTGCTAAGAAATGTTAATATCCTTTATTTCTGAACTTTTTAGGATTTTGAAGATAACTTTTGTGAAAAAGAATGAAACAAACGAATGAATGAAATTTGGTCAATAAAATTCAACATTCCAATTCCAGATTCCTTCAGAATCTGTGAACCAAATAAACACTTGACCAACGAGTATCAAAACGAACTCATGCAAACATAATCAACAAGGACAAACTAAAAATGGATCCCTCCTCAACCTTTGTTCAAACTAAAAGTCTTTCCACTTTCAACCCAGGGAACATTGTGAAGAAAAAACAGCCAAACAAACAAACTAAACCACCGAAAATAAGGTCGATTGATTTGTTCAACGAAACCCAAGGGTGGTTTGGTAAATTTACAATGTACAACGATGGAGTCTCACAACTTTAGCCCAACGGGTAAAGAGGTGGATATCAATGTACAACAAGGACAACGATAAGCACTCCAGTAACATAGGTGCAAATAAAGCAAGAATAGCAAGCAAAATATAGAATGTTGAGAAATCATAGTTTAACTTTAACAGCGAATGCGGACCCTCGAGACTTATTTGTGAGAGCTTTCTGTCTTTTCGGATGTGAAAGAGACCGGGGTTGCTGGATGATCCCTCACCATCAGGCTAAGCACTTCGGGTCTTGCATAATGCCCAACTACGTCAAAATCAAACTTTGCCCGTGCAATTTCTCCAAGATCTATGCCAAATTTAGCCATTACCGTGTCAAGAACTTAAAACACATAGCATTTAGTTGTATATAGATTCAATATCGCATACATTTATTCACACTGCTTATCACAAGATAACAAATAAACCAAACATACCCATTATATCTTTTTTGAAAGTAGGGTCTGACATACGCAGGCCTTTCCTATGCCCAGGGATAGAGAGGCTTACCACAAGATAACACATATATGCATCAAAGTTTCAGAGCATGGGATTACATATATATATAGGCAAAGGATCGTGTGAGAAGAGAAGTTATGGTGAGAAGTAAGAAGAGATCTGAACCTTGATCACTATTAATCTCATGCACACCCATGAATTGCGCTTTAGAAGGGAATTGACCCGGTGCATCTTGGTTCACTTCATTAGTGTTGACATTCAATTAGAATTGATCCAAGAGTGGAGATATAACTATCTTTTCCACCTCGTGAAATGCTGACCGTGGATGAACTAATTGATGGTTAAAATGAGGTGGCATCGGTTGTACAAATGGAATAGGTTACAAAATAAACCACCTCAATATAACTAATAATAGAAGGGTAATGAGTTTCTTCATCTCATAATTAAGGATAGAATTGAAACAATAGGCACTTACTTGGTTACTTTTGAAAGTGGACTATTATTTTGGTACAAACTAAAATAGAAACGTGGACACTTATTCTGGACGAAGGGAGTATTTGTTTACTTTCCATTTTCATCTAATCACTCAAACATGTTCAAAGACCTTTTCTAGATTAAAGAAAACCAAAAAAGATTAAGTGGTCTTGTTTATTTTATCGGTTTACTTTTTTTCCCATTAGGTCCTGTATGGGTCAATTTGTCTATCCACGAGATGGGAGACCTATGGGTTTGAGGGCGGCAAACAGAGAGTGTTGAATTATTTCTGATGACATACCTAAATCAGCTGTGATAAGTGCTTCCCCATCATAATTTGGTCCTGCAAGAACCGTCCCAGATGGTGAAATTATGACACTGCCACCGGCACAAACAACAGATTCTGGCGTGAGATCTTCTTCCGTTCCAGAAAAAACATATTCCGGAGGAGCAGGGTAATCTTTTCTACGACAAAACTGGTTTGCTGATAAAACAAAGCATCCACCCTCCAACGCAATGTGGGTCATCGATGCTTGCCAAACTTCCCTAGAATCAGCTGTTGGTGCACAATATATTTCGATTCCTGTCCACATGAAAGGTAATAATAAGGATAATTACAAAATTCTCAGGGTTTACTCCAACTGCAGATGCTGCCATAAATTCTCATTAGTTAAAACTAGCTATTAAGCCATTAACTGTCTGTTGGCAGATAAACTAGTCATGGTTGGTAAAAACTAACTGACAAACTATATGACAAGGTAAAATGTTTGAAAAATATGGAAGGGGCATAATTGGAAAAAATGAAATAAAAATAAAAATCATGAGCTTATTGAAACCCTACTAGAAGTAGCTTTCCAAAAAGTTAGCTTATAAGCTAGTTTATGGCTAACCAAACTAGGTTCGTTTGGTTCGGTTTCTGTAGAAACTACTGTGTGTTGGGGTGGGGGGGTGGGGGGGGGGGGGATGAGAATGCAAAAATGGTTAAGCAGTATTTTTGGGTGTAGAGTGAACCTTTAGCATACATTGCTGTCCTTAGTAGCGGCATTTTATTCTCCCAACAAATGGCAGCACCAATTTTCCCGATTGGGGTATCAAAAACTGGAACAGTTGAGCCATCACCAAAGCCCCAAATTATGCGCTCCAAGCCTGTTGGCATGAGCTTCCTGTGCTTCCCAAGGTAGCATCCTAGGTTATCGAAAAAAAGAACTGTACAGTAAAGAGTATATCCATCTCTCTCTATAACTCCCATCACCAAAAACACCTTATATTTTCCAGCCATTGCTGCCAATCGATCAACTTCAGGACCTGCATTTATGACCAAGAGTTCAAGGAAACTATATGACTGCACCTCAATCTCACAAAAAAAAAAAACACAATCTGAAACACGACACTAAGAAAGAAAATTCGTTTCTTGTTATGGAGCCCATTTAGTGCCATTATGACTCAATTAGACCCGTCGAGGAGAAATAGGCCAATTATACCCACCAAGTCCGAAATGACCAGTAATGTCTTAACAGACTTATTTTGACCCATTTAGTGCCATTATGAACCAGCAAGACTCTTTAAGGAGAATTAGGCCCATTACACCCACTAAGACCAAATGGACTCATTAAGAAATGCATGGTTTTACTTTACCAGGTACATTGATGGCTGCAGCATGGTACTTGCGGAAATCCTCTTTACCCTTAAGTGTACGGTTACCGATGCTTACACCAAAATTTGAGCCTCGAGGATATCCACCCACAAATGCTTCTGGAAAGACAACCAACTGGGATCCAAATGAAACGGCTTCAGCTAACAATCTCTCCGCCTTATCTGACAAATGGCAACATAAACATATATTCATCAGCTCAACAACTAGTAAATATCAGATAATTTAAACATCAAAAGGCAGATTAGTTGAAACTGGCAACATGAAAAAGCACATGCTTGACTGAGCTCATGATTTACGTCTTATTAATTAAACAGGAACCGGAAATAGCTATACGAGAATACATAATCAAACTAGACTATTACAACTTCCTTTACAGTGATGTGAGATGAAGTCTACCATTTGTTTGAAACACCTTCAGTTGCTTCAAGTAACAGAAGAACTCTATTAATGATTTGCAAAAGATCATCAACCAGTAATCATTTAAGCCACAATCTATTACTTTATATCATCCATAGTTGTATACCCCATATAATTCAGCAGCCCACTAAATAAAGAACCAATGTCGCCGTTGGAATAGCCACACTTCAAATCCTGAAGATCCCAATATTAAAGCAATCCCTTTAGAAGAGAACTCGGAGTCGAGTTCTTCCGAAGTGGAGGAGGCTGATATAGAGAGGCTAGCAAGAATGATCAAGGATTAGCTCAAAACTACAAAAACGAGCAAACAGAAGGTCCCGCGGTTTTCCTCGCGACCTACGTCGCCAGAAAAGCCGCGCCAAACACTAGAATCTCAAATAGGGGAAACAAAAGGTCCCACGACCTTTCCTGCGAACAAGGCTGTGGTCCTTCCCGCGTGACTCATTGTTCTCCTTCCTGCAGGTCTAGTTGTACATGTCCTCTGACGGGTCCACAGCTATCTTATTCGTTTTTTCCCTTTATCCTTAATTATTTTATTAGTTTCATATTTGGATCACAATTAGTTTAATTTAAGTTTTAGTAGCCATCTCTTAGAAGCTATTTTTTTAGACTATAAATAGGACCTAATGTTTTCATTATTATAAAGATCATCAATTATTAAAAGTTCTTCTCTTTGAGAGTTTCTCTTGAGTCTTTAAGTTCTACTATTCGTAATTCTCAATTGTTAACGGGTATAGAAGCTTGTCAATTCTTTCCGCACTTCCTACTGCGTCAATTGCCCATAGTTTAATTTTTCTCACTTGTTTCATATTGATAGATAGAATATCTTGTTATACGAATTGCACTATCATCGATTTTCAATTCACAGACTCGGGTAAGTGGATTGGGAAGTTCTTTGCTCACATAACGTTTTCTGTTTATACATTGAAATCCAGTTTCGACAAACATATTTCATTGAGAATATAACCCAATTAGAGATTCATTTCACTTAAATTGAGTTATAAAGAAATGCAGAAAGGCAACCCCAATAACAGCCATTTATCACCCTTATTGCAAGAGAAGGATAAACAGAATGCCTGTACAGAAACAACATAGATATTGAATAACTGGAAATGACAATACCAGCCTACAAGTCCCTGATGCTCAACAGTACACTACAAACATTGCCACAGAAAACCAAGTTAACTTATCACCTTCATATGATTAGCTGACCTCCAGAAAGAACTAAATACATATCTAAACGGAATGCAGATGAATTGATATATCGGCAAAACAATTTCACAACTTTCATGAACCATCTCGTCTTTCATTTTGTTCTCTAGAATTTCCAACTCGCATTTAAATATCTTAAATCCAGTTCATTTCACTAGGCACATAACTTTAGTATATAACATAAGAAATAAAAGTTGGGATCTATTTAGTTTTTGCATTACAAACCCAATTAGGAATACACTTTCTTTTAGTTTTGATGAACTTATTATCTTGTTCCTCCCACACAAAACATACACTAGTTCATTAGAAGTATGTCAAATTCATAGATAGAGAGCATAAAACGCATGACCTACTCAATTTTCTTTCATGAGTCTACTGTCATTATTGCGATCATTTATTTTCACTTGTACAAAAGTTGGAACATAGAACTGTCCATGAATTATGTACTTCTGCCAATCATGTCAAGATCACAAATTAAAGAACATAGGGGAACAGACCACAAATATAATTGAAAACACAGCTGCAGGAACTGCTGGGGGATGAAGAAAGTGAACCAAACCTAGGGTAGCAGGAGTATCATAGAAGATGGTGGAGGCCTGGACAATGGTGGCTCGAACAGTTGAGGCAGAAGAGTCAGAAGAACCCATGTCGACTTCGGTGAATACAGCACCATCGTTTCCAGTTGTTGAATCTAGTGCCATTGATTTTCTTTCACTCCTCTTGTCTTCTAACCACGAACAGGATCACCTATATCTTTCTGCTTATTGATGCCAAATATTATTATATGAAGAAGCAATATAACTTAAACAAGATCGTGTGAAGCTCTACTCATCAAACCCTTCAACCTCATTAGAGAAATACTTTTAAAGAAGTTTGCTATATTGAGATCAGAAAATCCAATAAAATACAAAAGTTCTCTTAAAGCAAACAACCCTTTCAATAGCCTTTTACCATCATCAATGTTATCATTCCATTATGAAAACAAACCATCATCATCATTATTTTGACAGAAAAACCTAATATTATGTTCTTGCCTAAATTTTGAATTGGACTATCAAATAGGTAAAGTGTTAAAGCTTCTGTGAATTCCAAATGCTTTTAGCCATATTCGATTACCCCTTCAAAATTTACAAGAATCATGAACTGAAAATGTTTGTAACAAATGATCAACAGAATCCATTGCAAATTTGTATTAAAAACTGAAATTTACCAGCATCAAACATCAAATTTTCAAACTCTACCTACGGATTGGGGATTCTACAGAACTTAAAAGTGTATGAAAGATAAACATCATCCTCAAAATACTATTTTTAGAACTTGTAACACTAAATTTCACATACAGAACTGAAGCAATAACAACTCAATCAATTCAAGCACACCCCCGACGTCGAAATTTGAAATATATGAATTTTTCGTATTCCAACTTATTTCAAGAACATACTAAAATCCCCAAATATGATACTGGAATTTTAATCGTTTCAATTGGTTACAACCCTCTGCATGCAGTAAGAAAGAAGCTATATGATTGTAGAGGATACAACCCAACCCACGATTGTGCTGAGTTCACAGTGTATCGATAAGTTGAGAAACAGAATGGAAGGATCAAACTTACACAATCGTTGCCAACGGCTTTGATTACGACAATTCCTGCAAAAGAAACGATGAGAAAGAAGTTGAGGAAGCAATTTTGAGCACAGACTCGTCAAATTTCCAAAATCGATTATAATAATTAATAAAAATATTTAATATATTTAGGGCCGTCTTCCCACGCGCTGAACACGGATAAGTGTTTATAAACTCATATTATTTTACTTGAAGAATATGATTTAGACCAAGAATCTTACTTGGTAAGAGAAACAAAGACCGAGAGTTTTATTCGAAAAGTGAAGACGACGATTCTTATCATGTTAAATGCTTATCGGGTAAATTGTTATATACAATGCCGTTTTGGTGGACAAAAGTCTTACCCGATAAGTAAGTGATAATGTTAAATTTTACCGATAAACGTTTACCGGATAAATGTTTGGTAAACGGTCCTTTACTCCTTTACACTTCCCTTTTTCTTTTTCCAAAAAACTCTATTATTTTCTTTTATTTTTTTCCCAAATTCCAAAACAAATTAATGATTATTTAGTTAATTAAAAAATGTAACAATTACAGATTATAAAAATCGTATATTTTTTTTTTATTATAGACATTTATTTTTAAATAAAATATGTATTCATAAAGAGATGTATAAGTGTAAGACATTAAGTTTAAAATTTTGTCACTAATGTTATATGATTTGTAAAACCTAAACTCTAAAATAGAGTGAATTACGGATTTGATCCCTATGGTATGTTAAAAAATTATGACTAACATTTCTAAACTCAAACAATTATAGATATGGTTCTCATGGTTGTCGATTCCTTGTGGCTAGAGTCCTTTATATTAATAGAGTTTGTAACTCAGTTAAATCAGAGTTAAATAGACCAAAATGCCTTTATTTTTGTCTTTTGTCTAATAAGAATAAAAATTAAAAAATATTTACTTATAATATAATACTTTTATATTATATCATATATATTACCTTATAAACCAAATTTTATAAAAGTCTTAAAGTCTAAAAGACAACATTTTAAGCATAAAATACAATCTATTAAAGCTTAAAGTCTTAAAGGCAATATTTTAAGCATGAAATACAACCTATTAAAGCTAAAACTTCAAAAATCTCTTAATTACCAATTTTTATGCATAAGATACAAGTTGATAATGTAAACTATTCCAAACTGTTCATTCACGTTCCCCATAACACTTTATCCCGCTGATAACTGATACGATTATTCATCTTCCCAAGATGGCTTTATTCAAAATCCTGTCTACCTCCCACAAACCATCTCTCTCTCTCTTCATCTCTGGCATTTCGACGCTCCTCACAAGAAATATGGGCCATTAGAGGTTTCGAATACGTATGTATTATCGAATCGTTGAATTAGGGCTAAATTGTTGTTTGATTTTTGAAGAGAGGGTTTTTTTTAATCGGTTTTTCTAGAGCTAACAACCTTAATTAACCTCTTGGTTACTTGTTTCTAACTTCTTGTATAATTGTTACTTAGTTTCTTACTCAAGTATCTAAGGGGAACAATGAAAATCTGTACAAGTTTCAAGACCTCGTTGATGTGGTGTTTTATTGGTCTCTTAATGATGTGCTTAACTGAAATATGTACAATGGCAAGGTTTATAAAAGATTTCTTATCTCACTCAAAATTTAATTAAAATTACTTGAAACACTTTCATTCTAAGGCAACTAGTGAAAATTGTTCATTTTTTGAATATTACGACTTACTTGAGGGTTCAAAATTGTTTTTAATTAATTTAGGGCTTGATGGGATTTCAGTTGCCATGTTGTTAGGGCTCAAGAATATGACATTGGCAGGTCTTTGTTTCAATGCTTCTACTTCTCCATCTCTCTCCTTTCTCCATGTTCTTGCCAAAAGAATGTATGTTCCATGGGGTATAGACCACAATCAAACTAAGTAAATGCATCTTCTTTATGGCAGATTACTAGGTGCAATAGGTACAATGTAGATTGAGATGCCTAATATATATATGTATGTATGTATGTATGTATGTATGTATGTATGTGTGTATATATGTATATGTATGTATGTATATATGTATGTATATATATGTATATATATATACTAGAAGCGTACTCGCGCAATGCAGC